GGGGTGCGCGGGCCGGGCGGGCGGGCGCGTCCTCGGTGGTCTCGGCAGATGTACGCCCCAGGGCCCTCCGCCAGCCCTCGTGGTCCCCCAACGCTCTTTCCTCGCTAGGACGAGCCGGACGGCGAGCCTCGGTGCCGGGTGGGCCGCCTCTGCCTGTTCACCTTCAAGGAGGACGGAGCTGCGCGGCCGCTGGTCCAGGTCCAGAGGAGGGACACCCCTGCCGTCCTGGACATGCAGTGGTACCCTCGGCGTGCCGGGGCGGTGCTCGCGAGACCGGGAGCCTCCCGCGGAGGGCAGCCCCGAGCCTGGGGTCGTGGGTCCCGTCCTCGCGGCTGGCGGCACCTGGGCACTTGCCCCTGCCAGGTCCAGCCCTGAGCCGGGTCGGCAGTGCTCGGACTCCCCCGGGGGCGCTTCAGGCGCCTGGCGCTGACTGTCCGCTCCACAGGTGCCACGTCCTGGTGGCTGGTCAGGCCCTCCTGGGTGTGGCCGACGCCAGTGGATCTGTGCGACTGTTCGGCCTGATGGGCTCAGAGGTGAGTGATGGCCAGGCTCAGGGACGGGTGCCAGGGAGGCCCAGCTGCAGACTCGCTTTCTAGGATGGCCTCTTAAGCAGGGCTCCTTGCAGGCCTCCTAGGGGCGGAGTCCGATTTGCCTGCCTGGCCCCCCTGGGGGGCGACCAGCTGGAGAGCTGTCTGCTTGGGTCTGAAAGTTCTGAGGGAGGCCTGGACACTCATCCTGGGTTGATGCTGGGACAGGAATAGCAGCGAACCCCCTTGTGATTACTGGGAGAGCGCCCGATTTCTCTTTCTCTTTGTATTTAATTTTAATTTATCATCGTTACTATTTTCAAAATTCGCTACAGGGCACACACATCCAGTAGAGAGGGAAAATGAGAAAGCAAACTGCCAGGCCTGAGGCTCCGATCGAGTTAGCCACATGGGAGTCCAGCACCTTAACCACCATGTCACTGCTAGCCCTATTGCTCTCTCTGTTTTTAGAAAGATTTTTGCTACAGAGCACCTGCACTTGCAGGAGACAGACAGCGAGAAGTCACTGCCCAGGGGGTGGCTATGCTGCAGTCCTTTCTCTTCTTGGGACTTTGGGCATGCATGCACACTTGCCCAGTGTGAGTCTTACATCTTCAGGTCCGGTACTTGAACTGTGGTCAACTATGTGGGAGTCAAGTGACGTAATCATTATGCCATCTGCTGGTCTCGCCTCTTCAGTTGTTAGCGGGCACATGTGCTCATCAGAGAGAGGGGACTCCCCAGTCCCTTTGTGGTCCCGTCAGGGTCTGGGTGTGCACACACATGCCAGCACGAGGCCTGCTGGGGCTCTTGCCCTATAGTGACGGTGACGTGTGGGCTGGCCCGCTGTGGGGCTTGCTCTGTGCACGACACCAGGCGCCCTGCTGCAGGCTGTCCTGCTTTATGCAGGAGTGTGCAGGGTTGCCAGGATCCTGGACTGTGCTCTGCAAGGTCACTGTGGTGGGGCAGACCTTAACCTTGGAGGGGCTGCGGCAGGGTCCCCATGGGCCAGCTTAGAAGGGCCTTGCTTAGGCCAGTGTGGCCATGTCACAGAAACGAGGGTGGAGGTGTCTGAAGATGGCAGCAGGCCAAGGAGCAGACCTGAGGGCAGGACCTGGTACAGCAGCCTGGCAGCCTGCCGAGGGCTCGGTCCAGGCTGCTCAGGTAGTAGGAGTGACAGCGACTTTGGAGAGAAACAGTGTCTTCAGGGCCAGCTTTGGTTTTGAAACAAACCAGAAGAGAGCTGGAGACAGACCTTGCCAAGTCCCAGAGGCCTGGGTATCAGGAGGCCAGTGGGCATGAGAGCCCTGAGGCCTGTTCTCCCCAGTAACACTTGTGGGAATGCCTCGGGGACGTGACTGTCATGTGGCAGTAGTTTCCACGTTCTGCAGAGTGCGAGCCAGTGACTGACACGCTCGTCCCTGTGGTGAGAGGACCAGGGAGGGGCACCGGGCCCAAAGGAGGGAGTGCCCCTCACGGGTCTGACGGCTCCCTCTGCCTGGCCCCTCTGTCCAGAAGAGCAGCTACACCCTGCAGCCGCTGTGCAGCGCTGGCCGCGAGGAGCCGAGCCTGGCCTTGTCCCTTGACTGGTCCACAGGGAAAGCTGTGAGGTGAGCGCTGGCCAGGGCCCTAAATCTTCCACCGAGCATCCGTTCCTGCTTCCACGCAGTGACTGCACGTGCCTGGCCACCACCCCACCTGAGGGGAGGAGACCCGGCTGCCCCCTGTACAAGCCGAGTGCCAGCTGGGCTCTGTGCCATACCGCGGGCGTCTCCAGAGCCGCATGCTCTTGCCCTCTCTGGACAAGTCTGGGGGCCAGAGAAGGGCAGCTTGCATCCAGCCATGTTCTCCATGGCTCCTTGTTCCCAGGGCCAGTGGCCAGCCCCTGAGGATCATCAGCAGTGACTCCAGGGGGAAGCTGTGCCTCTTGGCAGTGAGTGAGGCGGGGCCCGGTCTGCAGGAGGTGGCCACGTGGCAGGCCCATCGCTTCGAGGCCTGGATTGCTGCTTTCAATTACTGGCAGACAGAAGTCCTGTATTCAGGTTAGAGGGCCCCCCTCTGGGGGGTGGTG